AACAGTCATTGATCATTCTATTCTTGTTTCTTCGTACAATATCTAGAAAATTCAATATCTTAGAAATAAAGGCACGAGGAAATGAATCCTTTTCGGGTCTTTCAATATCTCATTGAGATCTACTTATAGCCAAAAGATGGACTCTAAACGGCTTGAACACCTGGGGACCTTCCCTCGTCAGTGTATATTTCGCCATCTTTCAACCATGATATTTTTAGACAGGACTTTTACGATGACTATTACCGTAGGCACCTTCCAAACTGACACACTCATAAGTAGATTTCTACTTATTAGATATCGCAGATCTATTTCATAGGCTCTAGACATATTTTTTATCTTGTGACTAGGATCTCTATCGCTTAACAGAAATATATGAATTGCAGCTTCGAAACTAAGTACTAATGGCCTTTAGGTATTTATGACAACTATGAGAACTTTGGACTTCCAGCTCCGATTCGAACAAAAGCTTTTCTCAATATATATATAATCTAATCAGCATAATTCACAGGGAAAGTTAAGTGTAATTATTTAATCAATGATACCAAATTCAATTAATATTTTGGTAATAGAGATGTCTCAATAAGTAAAAATTATTGAAAAAACTCGGCTCTCTAAAAAGTTCCTATTTCTCAAGAAATTCATCACACAATGGTTGCTTCGACTAAAACGACGACTTTGAGAGGGCTCAGTCTCTTAAGGAATGTATCTTAGAGAAGTGAAGTTCCTGTGACCAAAAACTGAACACTACAAAATTATACAGAAATTTGTCTAGGATCTCTTAGAATCTTCTCTGAAGGCAAATTGAAAAACATCAAAAATGACTTCTTATTCATAGAAAATGCATTCGAATTCGCTCAGAAATTAATAGAGGCATTTTGTCATATGAAACAGTTTGTACCAAGCTTTAATTGCTATGCGATTCTCTGTTAGCTTCTAGAAAAAAACCCTAAAAACCACAAAAGAAAACTTTTGAAAAATTGTCCTGATTTCTTCAGGACTTTGGGTTTTATCCGTAAGCTTCTGAAGACCACTCTACAAGACTCCGTCATCGCTCAAGAGATCAAGCTCGACTGAATTCATCGCTTTAGTCAAAATCGTGGCTTTGTGGAGAGCTTTCTAAGCGATCGGAACTTTTTAAAAGGCTTAAACGTTTAACATGGTAATTACTTGATGAGGGATTTCTATAGCCATAGTGTTTGTTGCCTACATGATTCGTTCACGAGATATATATCTAGATAAATTGTTGAAGGATGACTATTTCGTCTTGTACCAGATAATAAAGAAGAAATCATCAAAAATTCAATCATTACAACATATTTTGTGAAAAATACACCTACTTGGAATCTATAAACAATACAATTTTCAAGCAAGAAGGATATAATTTTGATGATATATAGATATCAGACAAAAGCTTATAAAAATGTGATACTTTTTGCGAAAATGTGTTCAAAAATAAACTGCATGTTTTGAGAGCGGATTGTGGTTCTGAAAGGAATATTCAAGCCCAAATCAGCCCACATCCACATCCACACCCACATCTGTACTCGATACTCCACATCTCACAATCTGCATTTCTCACGCTGAGTCTCACAGTTCGCACCCCGCAGTTCATGCCACGAAATTCTATATGCGCATCCCCAATAATTAGAGTACATTAAGTATGAGCATCTTAGTTTCGTATTGCAGTTAGAAAATCTGGGATTCTGATGAGAATAACAGCACAATTGATGATACCAAACGTTTTCTTATTTTGCGCTTCTTCTTCGTTTGGACGTATGCTCTGCAAAGTTTCTAACATGCTGAATGTTCTTAAAGGTAGTCGAAGTTTTTTCTGTTCTGTCTTATTCAAGTGCTTCCAAGTTCTGAGAATTGCTGCATCAGTGACTGTTTCTTGATCTTATGGTTTTTTTCTTCTCAATGCGAAATTTCATTATCAAGGTTGTCTGATGGAATGAGAAGAATGGCGAAAGAAAAACAAAAACAAAAACAATCATATTGCCGAGCTACATAGATGACTGTGCAACTATAAAAATGCAATATGCTTGATGACGTGCGTTTTCTTCAAAAAAAACGGAAGAAGACGTCATGATTTTTACAATGCATCATTAAAAAAAATTTCTTCCACTCAAACTTATTTCTTTTATTGGGCAGAAATATGTACGATACTGCATCTATGAACAGTGTGTTTTTGTTGAAAGTAGCGAATGCATATACTATCGTAGCTTTTATATTGTAGATATTAATATGAATCGAAAATTCATTTTAGTTTTCATCGTTCTTATCTTCGTAAAAGGTAAGCTATGCTTTGATAATTTATATGTTCAGTCATTCCACTGAAAATTTTCATGTGGCATCAGAGACTCTATTGTTCTAAGGTGCATGAGCTTGATGAGAGTGAACTAATATGAAGTTTTACTGTTTTTAAAGATTTCATATTAGCTGCAATCTTCCAATACTTCACCATAACTGATTGTTCGCCCTAAACAGCAGCTAAAAACGCCACATTTTATAGTCCTTCATGCGTTCTAGCAAGAGAGCTTGGATAATTTAAATACGATCACAATAATAACAGATAATCAGGTCAATCCCACTCGGCAGTAAACAGCCGTTCACTAACCAAATACGATGAAAAACGGCAACTGTTTATGTTAGCCATATACGGCAGCAGTAAACGATGCTTTCCAGCATATTACGACAATCATGCACGGTACCCGTAAAAGTCCATCGTAAACTACTACCGTAACAATACGGTGACTGTATACTTCGGTTGGAAAACAATGTAAGGCATCGTATACGTCAGCCGTTTCCAGTGGTCGTTTACAACAGCCGTATCTAATGCTTTACGGCATACTACGGCCATTGTAAACGCCGACCGTAGAGTGTCACGGGAAACGACTCGCGTGAAAAGACGACGATTGCATACGCTGGTATTCTAAAATGTCGTAAAGCACAGTGTACGTTAGCAGTATACGGTAGTCCCTTACGGCGATCGCAAACGATGTTTTACGATGATTTGCGGCCGTTCTAAACAATTGCCATAAAGAGCCACCGTGTACGACTTCCGTAACAATATGCTGACCGTATACGTTCATCGCATACTATCGCGATGCACCGTCTGTGACTGCTGTAACTCGCTCGATATAGAATCACTATTTGTTATTGTATGTCATCGCAAACGATCGTTAATGTCGGCAAATTTCTATTATTGAATATCAATAACATACTCTCACCATGAAGTATATTAGTCCACAGGTAACATAAGTTGCGTTTCCACAAAGTGAAGAAAGAATTTCAGGTTTTGCCTTCTGATGCGAGCAGCACTTTTATAAAATTCAAAGTTTTTAGAAGGACTTTTCCATGCCCATTTTGCTGAACATCCTCATGTGTCTCTGTAAGATGTATGAAAGTCAGAAACGATATCACAGCATAGCAACAAAGAAGCTACATACTTCCATAGTTTATCCATACAAAAAAAGACTAAAAATTAGACTGACATTGCCTATTTTCGGAGAGTGTGGGTGTGGGTGTGGGTGGGCATGGGCGTGGGCATGGCTGTCGGTTGAAATGTCGGCGATTTGAACCCTAACGCTCACACCAACACCAATCTACACCCACAGCCATATCCATATCCACATCCGCATCCACACCCACACCCACACCCACACCCCAAACCCACGTCCACACTCACACTCACACCCTCTAAGGTGATGATTGATGTATTAGCATCGCTGGCTTATCTCGCTAAGAAGGGATGCGAATACTAAAAAAAAAATAGTCATCATTGTAGATTCCTCATACATCAAGCGATTTCACTGGTTTTAATTATACAACTTCAAAATGAGCTTTTCCTGAAGTTATACTAAGGCAGACGAGACGTCCTCTTACTTAGGAACACAAGTCCTAGAATAAATATGAGATCAATAATAGCATGAAAACCTTACAGTGGTTACCAGTGTAACAGTACCGCTCGTTTAACCTACAGTCTTCTCAGCTTGTCCCCCGTAAAATTCATCTTACCCGTGATAGATGAAAGCGTATATACAAATCATTAATTCCAACAAGCTTTTTCGGTATTTTATACGCTGACACACACTGGTACCATACTTATGCAAAGATCATTCCCCGTTGCATTCACTCAGGTCACAATACCGATCCTTTTTGGCATTTACTAGTATTGGTTTTCAACAATATTAGTTTCCAAACATCTCGTATTTTTTGCGACAGAAAGAGTTTTTTGAGAAAGTAACAATTTTGTTATGAAGTTTGATTGAAGCTTTTTGGTACCGAGGAATGTAAATCTGAAAGAAGCTTTTCTGAACTGATGGGTATGGGTGAGAATATGGATTTTCTTTCTATCCACACCCACACATGTGTACCACATATTCACACCTTTGCTGTAATATGACAGCGATTGAATACTGTTGGAGTGTTTTCATGAAAGTGTTAGTATTTAGTTTCAGGGAACCTACCTTGAAAAAAATTTATTAAAAGCAATGCGAATTCGTGTCTAATTGGGAAGAATGCAAGATAATTTTACGAAGCAAATCATCAATTATTTGCAGTTAGCAGAATCTAGATCGATTCCAAAAGTAAACATCACTTTTTCGATGATCGATAATATAGTACTTTCTCACTGTATAGTGCGACGATGGATTATGCTGTAGGAGTTTTCAAAAAGAAACTACCAAGATAATTTTTAAAAGTCTTTTAATTGTTTTCAATTAATTGTGTATTCAATTTTGCATGCAGTTGCACATGATGTTTGTCCCAGGAGAGATCAGAAGCGCTTATATGGAAAACCGTTCTGAGCAGGACAGATGGTTCTATGTACAGAAGAGAAATCGCATCATGAACATAACATACAATAGTATGTCAGTATATGAAAAATCCAAAATTCATTCTCTGTATTAAGCAAATATTAGTAATTTGAGAAAGTTACAAAAATAGGTATGAATCGACAAAAACAGTTGTTCAGGTCTTGGTGGAAAATGTCGAAAGAAGAAAATTTTGAAAAAAAATGGAAAAAGGAAAATGCAGAAAAGGAAAAGGCCGAAAAGGAGAACGTCGAAAATGTAAACAGCTAAAAAAGGAAAACATCGAATAGAAATTTTGAAAAAGAAAACGTCGAAATAATTAATCTCTTCTTGTGATATATGACTAATTCATTAATTTAGAACGAAAAAGATAAGAGAATATTGACAAGATAAGAAGATTTTTTTTTTTCTTTCCAATTAGCAATGATAAACCTGACAATAGTTCATTTGCGTTGATTTCCTTTTTGATGTATCTGCTACGAAGACTATCAAATCTTATTTGAAAAGCTTTTGTTTTCGTCGATTGTTTCGGTGCAGATGGACCAGCATCAAGTTGAATTGAAATATGTTCAAAACGAACATGTTGACTTTGAATTAATTGTATAAAGCTCCAAATATTAGGATGCTTTTTTGATAATCGAGTTGCAAATCGAAGATTATAAGCTAAAATATAAACAATGAAGGATAGAACTTTGAAATGAAAGAGATGAACAACAACAACATTCTCACCTTCTGAAGTATTAAATAGACGAACAGATAGAACCGGAAAAGTAGAGATGACATCAGATAGCTATGTGTGTATAACGATTGAGGAATAATCATTGATTATGTAACAGTAACCAATGAGAATACAAACAATCTAATTTTGATCGTGACATGTTTAAATAAATTCGACGTTTTCCTTTTCTACATTTTTGCTTTTTGATGTTTTCCTTTCTATGTGTTTTTTGTTTCGACGTTTCCCTCTTCGACATTTTCCTTTTCTATTTTTTTTTCGACATTTTTCCCTTTCGACATTTTCCTTTTCGACATTTTCCGCCAACCCCGTTGTTCATACCTAGCTTCTTTGTTCTTCACAGGGCAATAAAGTAATAATATGAATTATAGTGCAAAATCGTACTACCATAACAAAGTTCAGGTGTCTTGTATTGCTTACGCAATCAGACCATTGTTCATCTGACTTATACTATTTTAACCCCTTGGGGATGGGTCACGTATATAGACATGATGGCTCTGCATGAACTCATAATTCACTTATGAGTGTTTTTTTATAATACTCTTCTGGTCAGTTTGCGAATGACGATCATGCGTCAGCATCGCTCTCATCTTCTGCCATTTCTTTTCTTTATTTGGCCAGAAAAATATCATAAGAGACACCCATAAGTGAATTATGAGTTCACGCAGAGCCATCATGTATATATATATGTCCCATCTCCAATCGGTTAAGAGTAGCTGCTAGTCTAGAACTAGGAAAACTATTCTTATAATCATGAAAATTTTCTATCAACGTTTGATGTGAAAGAATCGATCACTGCAACAGGAGAAAAGTAAAATAATATTATGATTTTAGCTGATCAGTTATATGCGAATAATGCTGATCAATCAACAACTGCGGCAACAATCTTCTTCGCCCAAATTATGCAATCTGTTAACGCGGCACGAATCCCTAGAGCTGTCATTGGTGTGACCACAACGACACGCACTACTCAAACCACCCAAACTACTGCGACCACAACAACTCGTACTACACAGACTACTCGAACGACCCAAACTACTGCAACCACAACAACCCGTACCACTCAAACTACTCGAACGACTAAAACAACATCTGATCCAACTCTTACTAACGAAACCTCAACAGACACAACGACGACTGAACCATCAACGAGTACAACAACGACTGAATCATCAACGAGTACAACAACGACTGAAACGACCACGACTACAACAACATCTGAAACATCGACGAGCACAACAACGTCTGAAACATCAACAACTACTACAACATCTGAAACATCAACAAGTACGACAACTTCTGAAACCACCACGACTACAACAATATCTGAAACATCAACAAGTACTACAACGTCTCAAACGTCGACGAGTACTACGACGTCTCATACATCAACGACTACAACAATGTCTGAAACGTCAACTACTAGAGGATCATCTGAAACCGTGACAACTACTGTCGTCACAACCATATCTACAAGAATTAGCACCAACAGCATCATAAGTGCTATCACCTCCACAACTACAATATTGTCCAACATGACAAAAAAGCCAACATCGACAGGTAGGACTTAGCAGCATGATTTTTAGAGGTACTACTACTAAATGGAAAGAGATTTTCTTTTGTTGAAAGACTGTAGTCAAAGATGAACAGAAACAATACAAAGTGAACTACCTAAACAACTTAGATTGATAAGAAAAAAAAACATTCGCTTTTCTTTAGAAAATATTTTGACGCAGATCTGTATAAATCATGTCTAAAGTTAATCTAATTATATAACCTATTGTTGACCACTTAGTGCTACACACGTCGACCTGAACTTACTTTCTGTACAAAGAATTAAATCAACAGTCATAGTGCTATTTTCTAGTAAAGCTTAATATGAGCTGCACTTAAAAAACGTTTCCAAAAGTGTCTACCATTAGGCATTTGGAATTAAACGTAACTTAATGAAAATGCTAATGCTTCTATAGATCACCAAATATGTAAACAAGATAAATAGTTTGTTACCTTATAACACTGATAGTTGTCATTCGAAGCAAACGAAAAACAAGTCAGTGGATAAGCGGTACCAGATCAAGTATAGTCATATCAATGAGAGAGAAGACTTGAACAAGATTAAGATAATTATATTATGTCCAAAAAATAATTCTCGACTATTAAAATGTACCGATCAATGATGACTTCACAGCTATTTACTGATGTCATATATTGCTGCAAAACACGAAATAATACACCAAGCCCGATGTAGGTGCGGGCTTCAGGAGAAACAGAATATTTACTCACGCATTATGCCTATCCTCTTTGGCATTACTCTCAAGCCCGACAACGAAAGATAAAAAATGTTTCGAGTATTTCATTGAAATTTATTTCTCATGATATTTTTCATATCATTTGAGGGCCGACTATTGTTAAATCAACTTACTCAACTGCATTGACTGACCGTAATGATAAATTTCCTCGCATTGGGAAGATCAACTCTTATTACTATCAAGCAATTAATATTCTTGCGTATATCACGGGTAATTACACTTTTACAAGCAACAGCACTATTGATATGGTTGGCTACTTATACAATAACAGTTTTGATAAAAACAGATTGTCTGTGAATCAACTTGCAAAAAATGACGATGGAGGTGGCAATTTACAGTTTAAATTGGTATATAATCTTCAAGCTGGAGTGAAATACATTCTTATAGTAACAACGTTTAATCCGTATGTTCTTGGACCGTTCTTAATAACTGTGAGTGGCCCAGCTAGCGTAGATTTTTATGCAAACACTAATGGGACAGAAACTTCGCCTGCAACAACCACAACAATCAGTCGAACAACCACAACTAGCCAAACCACAACAACCAGTCAAACCACAACAACCAGTCAATCCACAACAACCAGTCAATCCACAACAACCAGTCAAACCACAACAACCAGTCAAACCACAACAACCAGTCAAACCACAACCACCAGCCAAACAACAACAACTAGTCGAACAACAACAACCAGCCGAACAACAACAACCACAACCACAACTCCATTCAGTTTAACCAGTAAGGAAACTAGTCATTTATAGGATGTAGATTTGTGACGAGCTGCATACAGGGCATTTAAAAATGTTTTCTTTCTAAACAATCTCCTTATATGTTCTATACTTTCTAAATCCGAGCATTCTGAGAATTACTTCTTTACATGATCATCGACAACTTCGTTGCTTATGATTCAGACTATAATTTCAGTAAATTTATCTATTAGATCTTGTAATATGATGAAAGATGACTAGGAATACATTCTTTTTTCCACAAAAAGAAGGTTCTATGATCCATTTCAAAATCAAAAAAGATGGTCAATATAAGTGGTATAACTTGGAAGTGAGTGTATTCAAACATTGACCACTAATTGTGTGGAATATGATCTAAAAGAAATGTTCAACTACATAGGGTAGAAATTTGCACCTCTGATCTACTGATCACAGAGCCTGATAGGAACTCTCCTAACAGAGGATGATAAATGTATCTTTTTCTTCTACAGACTATGACAGGCAAGCCTCAAAGAGTTACACCGGTTGTATACCACTAAGATTTTATCTAAATATATGAACTACTTCCTTACTGCAGTTCTAGAATATTGAAAAGACTATGATTAAGAAATTTGTTCCATAATAGATCTAAAAACTTTTCTCATGTAACATACAACCATAGGTGTGTCTTATTTCCCATTTTAATTCTAGAAGGATTGCCTTGACGACCTTTACATTTAGATAACGAAGATGGACAAATTTGTTTTTGAAAGAAGATAGATTATGATGTTTGATATCCAGAGGAATTCTAGAAATTTTACACAAACACTGACTTTTTGGAGGTGCCAAAAACCATCTAAACTTTTTCTTGACAATGCGGATTAGATAGAAATACAAAGTCTCTACAAACTTATTTAGTTAAAATAATGCAACGCTCTCATTTGGGACTAGAGGTATCCGAAAGTCTAAGCTTTAGAAAAAAAAAAGTTGTCGGCCAAATATCTACCTTGTAAATGTTCATTTTTACTTCGCATACCTTCCAGATTGCAGACCATGAGAAATGACGTATATCTATTTGTTCTGGATACCATACGAATTCAACCAGGAGGCTTGATAGCTACATGTCTCACGACAGCTCACATGAAGACAACCAACGGAACAATATACTAACATTAGCAACTTGTATTGTTGAAGTTACGTAATGCCCAGAATAGATAGGTATAGATAATACCTTATATTTTTGCAATCTGAAATGGGTGGAATGCCAAAATTAATACATCGAAGGTCGTTCTTTCACCTAAAGCCTAGTTTTTTCGAGGTGTACGTTTTCGAAAATCCCCAATCTGAAACTAGATTGTGAAACTGTTTTGAATAAATAAGTCTGCAAAAGATTCTTAACTGTATCTAATAGAAATTGATCACAAAAAGCTCATGTGATGCTTATGAATATTCAAATTCAACATTGTTTGCCAAAAAAATAGCTGACCTATACTTGTCACTTTAATATGACAATGGATATCTTTAGATATATCCATTGAGGAACTATTCCAGCAGCAATAAACATCTCTTTAAACTACCTCTTCAAGAAAATACGGTGCTACGACAGAAATTAGTAGGTTAGTTCGAATTTATGGCATACGGATTTTATAGTGGTCGAAAAGAGATAATAAACATTTTCGTTTGTACTGTATGATATACTGAATTACATAAAAGCTTATTTTAATTGGTCGTGTTCCTTCCTTTTTTTTTACATTCCTGTATCTTCACTGTGATTTCTATGCAACAAATTACTCAACTCAACACTTTCATTGTGTTTTGCATGCAAGTGAGAAGTTTAATAAGAAACTTTTGTTCTAAATTAACAAATAAAAAGCCTCTTAGTATGATTTACAATGTTAGAAATAAACAGTACTTAATGACTAATAAATCACTTTAACCAGAATCTAACTCCGTATAGATGATCTAAAAGAGAAAACGTTTCTTTAGGAAAACCTATATTCCTGAAGGGAACAGAATCAGCGAGGTTATATCTGAGCAAGATTCTTTGTGTTATCATGCAAAGTAGCTTCTTCAACAGCTAAACAAAACTTTGTAGGTAAACAAAGATATTAGCAGAAACCTCTGAGCAAATATACTGCATTTTAGCAAACAAACACCTTCCGTTGTAGCCCATTTCGATACTCACTATCTTGAAAATATAAATTAAAAAGATTAAGTAAGCTTTCGAGCTATATGAAAGAGAGGAACATCTCTACATTTTATGGAAAGTTCTACTTACTTGAGTGTACAAAAACAAGTATGTATTCCCCGATTCCAATTCTTCGTGTATATTTAATGGTTAGAATCTTTGTGAAATATCATATGCATTATTATTAGAAATCTGTTATTGGTAAAAGTTTTCGATACTGTTTTCATCATCTTGTCAAACTGCATTACATTTATCGTTAAGTAAGACTGTAGTTTCAGAGTAGATATAGCAGAAACTATTTTTCTAAACAACTTCCATGTAGATGACACTTTTAACTGGAAAATTCTTGAATCTACGACTCATTCGTCTTGTAAAGAAAATATAATATTGCATAAGAGACAAAAAAGTAAACCATTCTTTCGGTTTTTAAACTGAAGCATGATAAATTAAGCAAACGAATATATGCTTATGCCCAGTCACAGTAAATACCATCACTGCTACAACTCTCAAATCTGACAATGAGAGATGAACACTAGCCCGAGTATCTCATGGAAATATACTTCTCTTAATGCTTTTTATATCATTATAGAATCAAATATTATAAACTCAATTTACTCAAGTACATTGACTGAACATAGTGATCGATTTCATCGAACTGGGAACACTAACTCTTACTACTATCAAGCAATTAATATTATTGTGTATACCACAGGCAATTACACTTTTACAAGCAACAGTAGTACTGATATGTTTGGCTACTTATACATTACTAGTTTCGATAAATACAAAGTGTCTCTTAATCAACTCGCATATGATGACGATAGTGCTGGTGGTGTACAATTCAGACTGACATATGGTCTTCGGTCTACAGTGAAATACATTTTTGTCGTAACTACTTTTTTACCCAATGCTAAAGGAGCCTTCAAAATCCTTTGTAGTGGACCAGCAAGTGTTTTTGGTGGATCGGGTGAAGCACACCATGAAAGCAACCACAAATGACATTTTCACATATTGACTTTTGCGAAATTAAATTTTTCGAGAATGATTTTTGCTTTTTCTTGACCAAGATAAAAAGATGTAAAAAGTTTGGGAGGATAAGAGTGTTGCTAAACATAAAAGCTGCACTCACAGCCATAGCCACACTCATCGCTACATTTTCACACCCATACCTCCCTTTTTTTTTTACTGTCGCAGATGGAGGACTAGATGAGTGTTGATGCGTTGTGTTTGATATCAATAAGAAAACAGTTTTTTTGAAAGCGAAATCAAGTGTTTTGCAGATAAATGAAACTTCTACTGAATGAACTTGAATTTATATTTTAAACTGACTCAAAGATAGAAAACCAAAAATTACTATCTATTATGGGTCACTTGATAGGTAACATTATATTTCTTTATTGTTCTCTTGAAAAAATTTCAGAATTCTTCCAGTAATTGAGTTGATATTTTTCAGTGCTGAATATTCATAGAACTTCAAGCTAGAAAATAAAATTAATTTCTATTATTATTGAGTACATTTAGTTATGGAAATCAGTAATGATTGGTATCAATCCATTTGTACTTCAATAGTTTTTTATCGAATAATAACCTGGTTGACCACCAGAGATAAGTCGGATCTCCTTCATTATCTGATGCCAACGACGAAAATCATGTGCAGCTCTGTGATATTATGAAAGTGTATAATCATCAACAATAATAACATCACCAAGTGTACCTTTGAATATAAATTAAATAATTGATTCATGGTTGATCCATACATATCACCATTCATTTGAAGAACAGTTATACGAGAAATATTATATCAAGAAAATGAATCAATAAAATATCCTTTACGAAAATGCACTTGATTATCAAGCTAATTAAATGAACGATATTTTTTTATTTTTTTTTCATAAAATCAAATAAATACTTTCAAATATTCTTTTTCTGACCAATGATCATTATCATTGTTTGTTCTCATCTTTGACAAATCCTGAACTGAATCAGGTAACCAAACATGTCTATCATTACTATTCAATGCCTTGAACACAGCACGGGCAAATGTTGAACTTTCACCTCTCCAACCAACACATTTAATGAAATCACCAGGAATTTCATTTGCAATAACCAATCTTAATGATCATTCTATATTTATTAATCGTTTTTTTTTCCAATCACAGTAATTCCAATCAAAGGCCAATATAAACCATTTATTTGTTGATTAATATCCAATGGACGTATGTGATTGGAATCATCATCAACTGCACGGTCTTAATGGCGAAATGTTAAACTGCAGACAGTGTCACAAACAACATCCATATAGTCATGAACAAGAGGTGATTTCTCAGGAAATGACAAGTTTTGATCATTATCAGATGAAATATCAATCTTTTGACGTAGATTAGATAATTGATTTTGTTTCGTACTTTTGGAACAAAAATACAAATGATAAACGGATAGAAAGATTGTTTTAAAATAACAAGTAGGACTATAAATATGATTAAAAGAAGCACAATGGTATCGCGCATAAATGAGTAAGCCATTGAAACGTTTTGATTAACTAAAGAATGTTTTTTCTTCATAGATATGAACGATGGTAGCATTGCATTTTTCCACATTTTTCCTATTCCAACGATATGCTACAAATAAAGATGGATATGAAATTATAATGAATATAAAGATCTAAAATGACTGATGTTAAAAAACAGAAAATCAATAGCACTTTTAGGATTGTTTCAATATCACTCAGTCAATTTTTTTAACCATTTCGATTTTCTTTCACTCACTAGATGAAATACTAGTTATTACTGAATTAGAGATTAAGATCTACTTTTAAAGCATAATTAGAATTAAAAGTATTTCTC